GCAATCCAGGAGAGATACATTGTGGCTTGGACCTGGAAGGAATTAGTACTGAGGGGACTAGAAACAGCCAGAATCTTGCTCAACATCAAATGGGCAGAGAGGAAGACTGGACTAAACTATGGAGCATTTAAGTAGCTGCAGGGCTTCTGCTAAGAAGAGCAGGTTTGGAAGGTTCTTTCAGAAAGCCACTTTTAGACAGCAGAGCAGTTACATGATACAGTTAGAGATATGACCAGGATGAGCTCACCCAGGAGGTGACTCTGGGTTGACAAGAGAGAGGAGGAAATCTAGAACTGACCTGTGGGGGTACACTTTACCCCAACAAAGCTGCGGGGGATGAGTGAGCAGGACAGATCCTAGAAAGTGTCATGTGCAGATAAAGTAAGTGACAATAGGAGAGGGATCAACTGGGTCATGTGCTGCTAAGTCCCAGCAACATGGTGACAAGGCCACTCATGACTGAGGATGGTCCTGCTGAAGGTGCACATGGAAGAGCATTGGGTTGGAGAGACTACAAGTGGGTCTCTCTCTCCCAAGGAATCTTTGAAGGCCTGCAGAGGAATTCTGGGCTGAACAGAGGCAACAAATAGTGGGAAGGATTTTGTCTGAAATTGTGAAAAATAGTAACATATCTATATGCTTATGGAAATTGTTCCAGAGAGGTGGGTAATTGAATGACTCAAAGGAGAGGGAGAATTTCTGGGGTTTGCCCTGGAATAGAATAAAGGGAATGGGATACAATGCACTAATCCATCAGAATTGATTTATAGGAGTCCAGAGAGCTCCCTTGGTGACAAGAGGGAGTACATCGTAGGTGTAATTATGCAGAGTGGGAACTTAGGAACGCCCAGTTCTCAGTGATATAGAAATGTTGGCCATTAGTTGTGAGGACCGAAGGGAAGGCAATGTTCAAGGAGCAAGCACAAAGTAGGAAGCAGTTGCCTAAGAGAGTGAACACCATGCAGATGATAAAACTATAGCACGGCTTTTCAGAATTAAGGGTTCTGTTGCCGTGAAGTTGGAATGAGTCCATTGAAGATGGTTGTATCCAGTCATGATCCACTTCAAGGCACAGAAGCATGGAAGGGGAGTGAGTACCTGGGAGTTAGGAGGAATGAGAAAGTTGGGACATGATGCAAAGATTGTTCATCAAATTAGACATCGGATATTACGCTTGGAAAGAAGGAAGCAGTGCCGGAGAATGAGAAATAAAATTGGCAAGTAAAACAGGTGGAAGGACGTGATGAAGGGTGCTGAGTGGGAGCCCCAGGGGAAGGGGCATGAAGGACATAAAATGAGTGCGGAAAGGAGACGGTGTCTGAAACTATGGCTACAGATGGGTAACACTTAGTGATAAGGACAAGAGTCACATCAGTGCTTCTGAAATGTTGGTGCACGCAAAGGTAACCTGGAGCTCTTGTTAGGATGCCTGCCTTAGTTCGGTGAGTCCAAGTGGGCAAACTGAGATTCTGTATTCCATCCCACTGCTGGGGGAGGGTGCTGACACTGTCCATCCAGGGGTCTCATTTTGAAAATCAGTAATCTAACAGTAGCTAAATTTTTCTTGAGATTTCCTTCATGTACATTTTAGAACTGATATATTAAAAATATTCTATAAATAGAAATATTGTGAAGGCAAGGTTGAAAATCCTCTATATGAAATGTGTGAGCTTAGAAGACAAGATCATTACATCAATGCAGACCATGGACTGAGGGGCCAAAATATTGAACCTGTCATCTTTGCATCTATTTAATACTCTTAGAAATGATACTGTTTATAATGACTATGAACAAAGAAAACTCTTCTACAAAAATAATGCAGACATCAGGAGTTATCTGATGGTGTAATCTTACAAACTAGGAAGAGAGGATTGATAGGTAGGAATACAGATTTATTTCGCACGGGGCACCTTTCCCTCAGGGAAGGGAAAGATGTCAGGGAAAGATGTCAGCCCATGGGCTGTGAGCTGGGACTTTATATGTGGGGGCTTTAGAGTGTAGAAGGAGGGAATGTTTGGGGGAGAAATAAGGGAGGGGGAAGCAGGAAAAGCAGGTAGGATTAGGGTCTGGAAGTGTTTACCTTTTCCCTCTTAAGAAAAGCTGTTGTGATAAACAGCTTCTAAAATCTCTGGTTAACAGGTAGAATCTGCTTATCTTTGGAGGTCAGAGGAAAGGCAGGCTGCTTCTCAGCAGTTTGTTTCCCTTGACTTCAAAGGTCAAGGTGAGGTCCCTGTTGTGGAGGGGGGAAACTGCTGCTCTTTGGAACCCTAACAAGGATGATCTGGAACAACAGTGTGGAATAAGGGCACGAACCAAGTCCAGGCTTAGGAGTTTTTTTGTTGGACTTGGGAAACCAAACACCTTCCACTTGGGAAGACTCAAAAGGCATGGGATTGATGTGGAAAAAATAAAAAATAAACAATCTTAAAAAGAGCATGATGTTTTGGAGGATTCTGCTACCTGGTTCCAAGGCACAGGGAACTTGGAGAGTGTGAACACAGAACAGAACCAGTGGCACAGCTGGGCTTCGGGTGAATGAGGAAGGGAGCTGTCTCATCAGGGCTTACCTTGGCATTACTGAGCTATCGTCTACTGTTAGATACCAGCATTCCTTCCAAACAAGGTATAGAAGACAGTGTAGGAAACTGAGTAGGGAAGAAAGACAATAGCCTTCCCCAGGGACCAGGAACAGTCCCCTCATCATAGGAGCTTCTCAGGTCCTAGAGGCTCAACAATGAGAGACCCAAAGGAAATAGTTGTATGTGAGAAACAAAAAGATCATGTGCCCAACTATCATGTTAACCCTTTTAAATCTTTTGCCAACCATGCAAATTGAACTCTTTCTTTCATGTTATAAACTCTTCAAATAAACTAGACTAGTGGTTTGTAATATCCCCGGAGATCTCTTTATGCCAATTGTGATTAGGATAGTATCACAATTCTGTGATAAACAGTATAACTGTTAAACAGCTTATCAATTTACATAGATAAACCATCATTCTGGGGTTCCCTGGAAGCAGACCATGAGTCTGACTTGAACATAAGCCATCTTTAAGGACATGTTCCCAGTAAAGCCAGTAAAGTATAATAGGGGGGAAAAAAGAGAGAAAATAAAAACACAAGGAAGAGGGATAATTCAAAGTCTCATGATAAAACTTCCACTTGCTCCATAGAGAGGAACTTTAGAGAACGCACTCAGATCTGACTCAGTTGGACAGCAGCACATCTCTGCACTCACGGGACTGTGGCGGACAGGGAGCATGTAGGGAAAGCTGTGTACTCCTAGGAGTGTCCAAGGAATAGAGAATCCATGAGTCTGAGGAATGCCATTGAGGGAGGAGTATCAGGATAGATTCTTGAAATGTGTCTGAGTACAAGAAAGCAGAGTGGGGCCCAAGCCTGCCTTCAGTCAGCAAGAACTTAAGATGGCACGGATGGCCTAGACCAAGATTAGATCAAGAAATAGTAACACTAGCTGTCAGCTACTGTCAAGGTTTCTTTTAGTGTACATTTTGCCCTTTGTGTACTTCCAGCAATCCCAGAGTACCATACAAAGGGCTAATTCTGTAGAAAATCCACCAAGATACAACGCATATGAAAATATACACTGCAGCTTGCCACTGGTAGCATGTATGGTCTGCATCTGAAAACAAAATTCATATTTTAATAATCCAGCTTCAGTTGGATTCCATTCCCTTCACTACCATTAGTGCAAATATCAAGAATGTTTGACTGTTTCAGAATTTGCATCATTACAAATAGTTTCTGTAATCTACACCTGCATCCATTTCTATTTCTTAGTACTGTGATTGGTTTTGTTTTTCCCTCTGAATCTGGCCTCTCTTGAAGGCTTAGAGTAGTATTATTGAGAGTCTCTTGCCTTATACAAGTAGCTCTGTACTGTGCTATGTCAAGCTCATTGACAGATTTAGAGATTAATTTCCAGACCTCTTACAGTGCTGAAGAAGCTCTTTAAGATTTTGAAAATGGCAACAATATTGACTCCATCCCAGTAAAGGTTACCTGTGTCCACATCCACTGTAATGCAGAAGGAAAGTTTAACTGTAGTAAATATCAGTGTTGTTTTTCTTTATGGAAAAAGTGGTTCACAGAAAAAAAAGGCTTTCCAGGATAAGAAATAGTTTGCCCTGCAGAAGAACACCTTGCACTTACACTAGAATATTTCACTTCTTTTATTCGATATGGACATCACTGTTGTTAAATCAATGCCATTTGCATAGAGAAACAATGGTTTGATAGTTTTGAATCACTATTCAAAACTGTCTTAAGGCAAGTTCTCCAAGAGGAAACCACGTGCCAAAGATTTGAATACTAGAAGTATTCAAAAAGAGATGTGAGTGTGACTTGTGAGCTATTTGGATTGTGTTGAACGTTGGTAGGGAAACTTTTCCCCCAAATATTTTGGCCTACATGCATCTCCAAATATAAGTTTAGCTGTGTTTTAATGTCCGTGCATTTTCAAGGAAATTTAATCCATATGTTGCAGTGAGGTTACAGGTAAATCACTTGAATATATTTTATTAGAGCTATATGATGTCTAAAATGCCTTCTGAGCTTCTTTATAGTCTTGCATTCTTTTCTGTAAAGCAGCAGGTAAGTTGCCAAGAGTAAACAAATCAAGTAGCAAAAGGTTTGGGTTCAGTTTGAAATGCTTTGCCTATTATTTTTGATTGGGTTCTGAACTTGGCAGTGCTCATTCCCCATTCCTGCCTGCAGGGCAAAGTGAAAACAATTTGAACACTGTATTTCCCAACTGGTTCATTGACATTTGAGAATAATGTAGTACAGACAGAATCAGCATGTTTGGCAGGTGAGTGATACTTAATATGACCTCAGAAAGTTACTTTCCCAACTTGGCAGAAGTTCATAGCATAGAACAAAGTTATAAAGAGTACAAAACCCAAGTCAGGACAGACAGCCATACAGTGATCAAGACTGGGGATTATCTTTTTTTTTTTTTTTCTCTTGTGTATCTTTAGGTGGAATGGCTGAAAAATGAAGACATAATTGATCCTGTTGAAGATCGTAATTTTTACATTACTATTGATCACAACCTCATCATAAAGCAGGCCCGTCTGTCAGATACTGCGAATTACACCTGTGTGGCCAAAAACATTGTCGCCAAGAGGAAAAGTACCACCGCCACCATCATCGTATATGGTGAGTGAGCTCTCAGTGGTTCAGTCAGGGCCATGTCAAGCTACACTTCCTCCTTAGCAGCATTATTTCATTTTAGAATATCAAGCTAGACAACTCTTTTCAACCCCCACTACTCTTCCTTCCAACCTGGTGCACAGTCAGTAAGGTTTAATTATTTCCACCTGAGTACCATGTAGCTCCTTTATATTTGTTTGCACCTAGGCCCTGTGATTATGGGACCTCAGCAAAGGTGGACCCAACCTGTTCCCCAAACACACTGTACGCCCCCATTACCTCTCCTGCCTCCACCAGAGGCCGGCAGAACCATGATAAATGCAGCTGTGGTGAAGGGACCATCATTCCCCACACATGGCAAGGCCTCATGAAAGAACTTCTCACTCTGTAGAACATCTTATTCACCTCCCTAAACCTGTAGATTCTCTTTATGGAACTTCACATTCCCTTTGATGTGGTGTGGGTGCTTTTACCTTCCTGTGTGGAGAACACTCCATTACCTTCCAGTTACTTCACAGGTGAGCTCATCTCCCCAGCTAAAATTCCAGGTATTTTATAGACCAAGATATTAGTCTGTACATTTGCATATTTCTCACAACATTAGGTCCTCAGAGTACTGATGTATTGTCAGACAGAAAACTAAGCACTGAGTATTCTGAGGTGATGTTTCCTCTTGAACACACCCAGGTTTCACCTCTGTTATACAGCAGAGCTTTTCCTCCCTGCTTCAGTGGTAAGTGATACCCAAGGGTCCTGGATTCTGATAGCATGTGAGGAAGGATTGGTTACTGGCAAGTGTCCTTTGTTTTACTGCAGAGACTCTTGAAGCACTTAAAATATGTCATTCCAGCCTTTTGATCATTTGAAGGCACATGAGTAGCAGGTGAAAATATTCACTCTGAATTTCCTTCTGTTTCTTTGTGTTTGTTTATTTTTGTTTTGATTTTTTTTAATCACTTTTTGAGGCAGTGTCTCCTTGGAGCCCCAGATGGCCTGGAACTTGCTATGTAGACCAAGGTGGCCTCCATCTCAAAGATCCGCCTAACTTTGCCTCCTGACTGCTGGGATTAAAGGTGTGTGCCACCGTGCCTGGCTTCCTTCTTTTTCTTAAAAATAGGAGATGAAATTCCCATATGAAAGTTAAATTCCATGTACTAGAAGGAAAGTAACATCCTTATCATTAAGGATGGAAAGTTGAAATCTTTCTATGATGCATAAAACTTGTATTAAATAGATTTCTACATTTTCACCTGTTGACCCATTTTATATATAACATTTTCAGTCTCACGTCAAGCCAAAAGAAACCTAAAAATATAGGCAGTAAATTTTTGCCTCTCTGCAGTACTATTGTGTGGTTGTGTGCTGACGAGATGAGGAGTCACAAGAACAGAAACCATTATGATGTTCCAGAGGCTGAACAGAGTGATGCTTTAAAACTGTCATTTTAATTACAGGACAGATGCATTCCTTTTTTTTTTTAATCCTCTGATTACTCTGGGGTTTAATTTCCTAGTCCAGATAATGGCTGTGTTGAATTGTAAGCAATTGCATTTCTTAAATCACAAGAAATTGTTTCTTGGTTTTTATCTTAGTCTAAGCTGCCTGAAATAGTTGATTAACAGCATTTAAAATGCAAAGTACAAATGGGGCCCAATCATAGTATGTGCCAATCGTAAATAACTAATGAGCACACACTATATATAGATGTATTATATAGATATTTAATACAGATGTAGATCTCTTCCTATGTATAGCATGATTTCAGTATCCATAAATGCAATGAAAGCATTGTTTTTAATAAGGATCAAATACAACTAACAGGCATTTTCAGACAAAGGACAGGATTAAAGGTCAGGAATCCCATGTTCTAGGACTAGATCGGCCATTAGCTGGCTTTTTAAATGTCAATTTTCTGAGCCCCTGTCTCAAAGTTTCTGATTTTTCATCTCATTAAAGTTTTAGCCAAGTGGTAAATGTATGCTATAACTTCTGATACCAACTGTCATTATTCCAGTAAGCAATTTATAACAACAACACCATGATGTTTGAAGTTTATAAAGTTGAGCAAGTAGCATGCTCTTGGAAACTAACTGAAGCCCTACCTGTCTACCACTGGCTTGTGCTTTTCATGGCTCCATAAATTAAGTTGTTCAAGGCTTGTGGCTGGACACACTAGAAGTCCACAAAAAAAAATTCTAGCCAACATTTCTTATTCTGAGTCTGTTTTATATATACTTTTTGGTTGATATCACTTTGGGCTAACAAATATATATCTTTTAGAGAAAATCTGGAAAACAGAAAAGTTCAATGAAGAAAAGACCTTTGATTCTGTCATCTGTAGATAACATATTTTGAAATTAATATTGTATCACTGATATTTTCTACAGATTGGTAGTACTTTAAAATAAGGAATATACATATATTATTTTCACTTAAACTAAAATGTTAAATATCTGTTTTATTAAATAGCCTGTAATATCACTTTTAATAGCATGAAATTGAACAGCTTAACATTTTCTGATTTTTTTTAGTATTACATATGTTTCTATTTATTTAATCTCTATATTAAAATCTCTGCTATGAAAAAATACCTCTCTGGCATCTGTAAATATGACATACTTTTGCTTATTTTTTTATAAAATAGGTTTCCTAGAAAATGAAATTTTGGGCAAGTCACATACACATATGAAGTTTATGTTGCTTCCGTGGTTAACACTCTACCCTCAGGAGGCAAATGGATATATGCATTCCACTCTGTTTTGACTGCTAGCAAATAATTTGTTCTTAAAATTGTAAATTAAAGTAATTGCATAGATTTACATTATTGAACTGCTTTTTTTTTTATTTTTGGTCTTTTTGAGACAGGGTCTCCCTATAGTCCCAGCTATCCTGGAACTCACTATGTAGACCAGGCTGGCCTTGAACTCATAGAGCTCTGCTTGCCTCTGTCTCCTAAGTGCTGGGATTAAAGGTGTGCACCATCATGCCTGGCCCTGAAAACTGCTTTTTTAAAAGTTCAGTATTTTCTAGAGGGAGCTATGCAATGAGGAAGTGAGTGGTGTAGTGTTGGAATACAGGTTTTATAATCACAGATGTACTGACCCCGCCATCAAATGTTGTAATTAGTCCTTCTGCACAAAATGAGGATTCATTTCAAATACATCAACCAATTGCCAGCTCAGTCAGATTGTCAATTTGCTTAAAACTCCAACATTATAAGATTTTATTCTGTACTAGGTTCATGTGTTACTTTGTGAAACTGAATAAAATTTCTTAAAAAGCTGTGAAGTTTGCAAATGCTGAAGAAAAATAATCACTCATCTGTTGTTTGAAGTCTAAGTGGTTTTATTCAGTTCCCAGACTTCAGCTTGAAGCCTTGGCATTAGGATGTAAACATTTATTATGCGAGATAAGCTGTCCAAAGTAATTTTTGGAGTTTGGCTAGGTAAGGAAATATATATTTTTTAAAAGGATGCTAGCCAAGGAAAGGAGAACATAGTCTTAATTTATTTTTATGGGTGAGTTAATCTTGGTAAATATATTTTTGTATCTCTGACTTTAGATTCTTCAACTTTACAGCACAACTCTGAAGTGATATCCATGGTCACCTCTAGCATTGAAATCTTTTTTTATGGTCACATGGAGATGACTTTGGTCTGTGTGCTTTTTATGTCTGTGTGTACATTTGCACATGTGTAACCCACCTTTTCTGGTTTGCCATCTTCAGTAAATGGTGGCTGGTCCACCTGGACAGAGTGGTCTGTGTGTAACAGCCGCTGTGGACGAGGGTATCAGAAACGGACAAGAACCTGCACCAACCCAGCCCCACTCAATGGTGGGGCCTTCTGTGAAGGGCAGAGTGCACAGAAAATAGCATGTACGACGTTATGTCCAGGTAAATAATCAGTGTTTCACTCCAAATACCTTCCCCAATTCTGGAAATAAGTCACGGAAATAGATACAGAGACTTAATATAGACTGAAAGTGTGATGAACATAATGGAAATACATTCTACATTCATTGTTTACCCTCCCACAGATTCAGAGACCTTCCCCCAAACAGTCCTTGCCTTTCTCACCTTGATCTGCAAAGCGCTATAGAAGTAGGAGATTGAACGCCGTGAATATATTCTACCTATGCTACTCAGTGAAGCTGCTGGAGCCAAAATCAGAGATTCTATAATTCAAGGACTTTGAACAGCACTGAAAACCACGTGTTAGAAATAATAACCCTTGATCTTGAGAAAACCATGGAAATTAATTGGAACTGAAATTTAGAAACTGTTTTATACTGAAATAGTTGATATGTGGTGTCAGTTTCTGGGCAAGAGCAAATAAAGCATTTAGAGTGAATTAAAAGGGAGGCAAAGCTTTGTGACACATGAGATAATGGATTTTGAAAATGCAGTGCAGTCAGCTCTTTATTATCTGTACGTGTTAGTCATCTGTTTTGTGAGTTATTTGCAGTGGTTCCTACGGCAAGATTGCATCCTTCCACCTCTTGGCAGAATCTTGCAGTATTTTATAATGCTACCAGCTCTTGAATCTAGGTAAATTTGAGTTAATATTTGCCCAAACCCAAATCACTCCACTAAAATACCTAGTCATATAACATATTCTGAAGTTAAGCTAAAATTATTTTTGAGATAATCCACAAGTCCACTGTGCTCAAAAGGTTAGTGATTCTGTTTCAATTTCATTGTTTTGGATGCACCACCTACTTAGTCCTCTTGGCTTTGCCCAATTTTGTACTGTTTATTCTGTAATAGAACATTTGTCAGAAATGGGTGGAGAGAAAAATATAATCCACAGTTTGCATTTCCTACACCGAATTCTTTGAGAGCTCTTATTTATGGAAGAAAATTTGAAATGTAGCTGGGCTTAGGATTTCAGATTTTATCATATACTTTCCCATATTTTATCCGGGTGCTGGCTCCTGTAATTCAAAGTTCACTGATCACTTTGAGTAGGAAGAACACAGGCGCGCGCACGTGCGTGTGTGTGTGTGTGTGTGTGTGTGTGTGTGTGTACACGTGTTAGTGTTTTAAGATACTAAGTTGATCTACAGCAAAGCACTTCACTCCAGGTAATTTGGAATTGCTGTGTAGCCAACTCTATATGATGGAAATTATAATGTATACCTTGTGCTTGTATCTTAATGCACATTCTAAGTTATACATTTGTTAAGTAACAAGACTGTGATACAGATTTACCAATCTATGTAAGCTATTAAAATTTATAAATTTTTTCCCAGTGTTCAGACTTTGAGAGATTTAAATTTTCAGTAAATGGTGTTTGGCATTGTTTTGTGTAGAATCCAAGATAATCATCATTATTTATACATTTCAAGGAAAATCAAACACTTTTTAAAGTTGGTTTAACATTTTCATCCAAGAAACATGAAAGGATTCATTTTGAAGTATGACAATGAAATTTACTGTACATTTTTCAAATTGGCATTTAAGGAGTATGTTTTCAAAACAGATACCTCAGATCATTATCATTGAAATTGCTCAAAATACACCCACCAGAATTAAAAAGAAAAGCATTCAATTCCAAATTACTACATCACTGCAAAAATTAAGGATTTACTTAAACATTATTTCACCCTAAATACAAATGGATGTACCATTAAATAATGGAATAGAATCATCACATGACTTACAAATCCTATAGTTATTACAAGAAGGCATGGTGAGATTTTAAGCAGAATCAAGTGGCATGGATAAGAAAAAGAAAATAAAAAAGAGTATGTAAGTGGAGAAGGAGGAGAGAAGAAAGGGGACCATGGGTTCCTTCTGCACTACACCTCCTTTTCTCTCACCTTTCATGCAAGTTTGTTTCCACTGTCTGTATAACACTATAAATGAAGGAATCTTAGATCAGAAAGGCAACATTCTAATCTTCACTACTAAATCCAGAAATGCTCGCTTTAATGGAAAAATGGAAGCCATATGACCTCCTCTTTACTTAGCTCCTGGTGTGTCCCAGTAAGCTTTCGTTGGCTTGTGAGTGAGGCACAGAGTACACAGAACTCACACATGTAGAGCATGATATGTTCTCTGGAGGATCTCATGAATTCCAGGCTTATCAGAGAAGCATTTGCTTCCATCTTGAGATCTTGTTATGTTGTTATGTTAGAATCCAGCTGTGCTTCTTTTGCCTTCCAAGTAGCTGCTTCTCCCTCTGACCTGATGCTGTCTTTTCTCATGGCAGTGGATGGCAGGTGGACCTCGTGGAGTAAATGGTCTACCTGTGGAACAGAATGCACCCACTGGCGTAGGAGGGAGTGCACAGCACCAGCCCCCAAGAATGGGGGCAAGGACTGTGATGGCCTGGTGTTGCAATCCAAGAACTGCACTGATGGACTGTGCATGCAGAGTAAGTCAAACCGAGGAAATTGTAGTCACTAAGGGGCCTGAGATCAAGCCACTTGTATGTCTTTGAAGGAAATATTAGTAATGAAGAACACCTATTTAAAATGTGATGATATGGTTATACTCCAGTTTTCTTTCAAAGCTGAGAAAGGCTAACCTCTCAGGAACCAGAATGAATGAGAGCTGTGTCCAGCTAACAGATGACATGCGGTATTGCTTTCACGTGAGCAAGGAGTGGTTTAGTCATTTTCACGGAGGGGCTGTCATTCTTTCCAGACCAGGAAAATGTTAACTGCATTTTATTTAGTGCACATAAGAGTACCTAACCCCCTCAAAGAGTCAAAATGTGTCTTCCAACAAGAGAACTATTTATTCACAATTCATGGCTGGCACTGAACCAATATCCATGAGATGTGAAATATATAAGGACAGTAAATATGTCTGTAGGTAGTTTTATGAATGTACAATAAATCTTTAGTAAGACTCCCTTCACAATTCCTTGAATGTGTTGGTTTTGTGTTAGAAATTATAACATGGGTATGCTTTAACTTATTCAAAGGACATACTACAGAAAAAAAATGAATGATTGCAGAAAGTTAGCTCAGGTGGTAATGTTAGATTCAATGAGCTAAGTATTCTGTATTTTCATCTTTTGCCTAGATTTTAACAGTGAAATGTCAGCTTGATTTCAATATTTGCAAACTTCTACCCATTTGTTGAAGAGGGCTTAGGTGTTCAGAATTTATCATCTCTTCCTGACCATGAAATAAGGTGCTTAGAACTGTTCAGGCAAATGGATAATTGTGCTTATCTGGATCTGAATTAATAGTGACCAAAGGTTGACATTCCTCACACACATTGCATATATAATCAGTTTATTCCTGTAAAGTATTTGTGTTTGTTATTTTAAAACAAGTAGTTTTTTTTTCACTGCACATGCACCTTTGTTTACTTTTTAAGAGTCTATATACCTAGGAACTTAAAACATTCTTACTTAAAATACAAATAATAATTATGTTGCCCATGCTGATAAGAATCCAAGAGGCCCCTCATACTGTGTTCTCCACTCCTAACCCTGTAGGAGAGCAGGCTGTGTCTCAGCTTCTAACTGGGGAGAGCTACCATATACCTCACTGTTTGGGCCAGAAACGAAAGAATGAAAAGAAGACAGCTGCTTTATTAGTTAAATATCCAGAGACACAGGGTTCACACATCTGGCATGGGTTTCAGTTTGAGGATCAAAAGTATTAACAGCATGTATGTTATTTTTCTATCATCGAGTATTCTTCCTTTATATGGAACAAGTCACTTCAGGTAATTGAGAAGCCAAAATGTTTGGAGGTTTGGTGGTTTTTTTTTTTTTTTTAATAGCTTACACTTTCTTCTTCTCTTAATACAATAATTCAACCAATTGCTTCTACTCCATTTATTTAGAATTCCAAGTCATTTATTTTGCAAGGAGTATAAGCTACATGTTGGGACATTCAACCTTTCTTAGACAAAATGCTTTCTAATTTATGTGTGTCAAACACAAACACAAGGCATTCAAATTAAGACCTTCATGACCAACAGTTCTTCAGTTTTTAGATCATTTCTTACAGCTGTAATAGAATTTTTCCTCATGGTTGGCTATTTTCCAAAAATTATGGCTTGCGATATGTTTATGAGTAAGAAAGATGAATTGGGGTACATCTGGCATTTTTGGTTTGTGGTTTGTTTGTTCGTTTTTTTTATCAAATCTCTTGTTAGAATTAAACACTTTGGGATTTGGGTTGAAGTCATTGAGTTAAAAAGCCATTCCTTTCTGATGAACTGATTTCCTAGCCTAACAGTCTCTACTAAGTCGATAAACTCTTTCATCTGCTCTCCTGTATCTACTCTAGTCCAACCAAGAATTGTAGTCTATACTACTATTGATTTCCTGGGTGATTAAAAAAACTCCACAGAGATTGCTGCACTGTGTAATTATAGTATTTTACAGTGAGACCTATAGTTTCTGTTTACCAGTGAACTTGGTATTTCTGGCAGAGTATTGTTCCCAAAGTTTTGCAAAGAAATAATATTACCTGTGGTTGGAATGCAAAAGCTCTTCTAATGATGAAACAGCAAACATTTAAGAGACATTATGAAAAAGGAAGGGAGTAAACAAATATACAGAGTTGCAATTACCAATGAGGAATCTGTGATCTAATATGTATTTGCTTTGGGGAAATTCATATCTTGCATGTGTTAAACTTTTTATCAATATGTTATTGTTTCAAAATAAAGCTAGCCTACTTAATAATGCACCAGATATGAAATACAACCTCTAGGGGCTGGAGAGAAGGCTCAGCGGATAAGAACACTGGTTGTTCTTCCAGAAGACCAGGTTCGAATCCCAGCACCCACATGGCAGCTAACAACTGTCCATACCTCCAGTTCCAGGGGATCAAACAGCCTCTTCTGTCCTCCGCAGGCATTGCATGATATGAGTGCACTTACCTACATGCAAGTGATACACACATACACATAAAATAAAAATAATAAATAAAATATTTTTAAAAAAGAAATATAACCTCTAAATCCACTGAAATTTATATACAAATAATTCTGATATGAATAGAGCTATATTGCTAGGTAAGTGAAACTCAGAGTTCATAATTGATGTGAATAGGACTCAGAATTTCCTAGATACCACAGTGTAGTATTCTTTTCACCAGCTAAATTGTCACTTAAGATATATGCAATGTGAAATATATAGAAAACATTATTGATGCTTAGTCATTATTTTGCTCAAAGCAACCAAATTCAAACACATTTCTTTCTTTACCACCTAACAACATATGCAACTTTGATTTAAAACATGTAGAAAAAGTAGATGAACTATTAAAACTTAAAATACTAATGTAAACATACACAGAGACACACATGGGGACAGAAAGGACAAAAGGGAGGGAAATCTTCAAGTGTTAGTAAAATAATTGCAAGGCAAAGTAAGAGGTGACCGTGTGATGGACACTGAATGGTTGAGAGGCACAGTGGACAAGATTTGGGTTCTTGGCCTGGAATTTATGGTTTAAGATTGGGGTCTGAGGCAGAATACCTGGCTTTGTGAAAGAAACATGTTGAGACTTGGAAACACAAACTCTGGCTGGAGCTGTGACTCATTAGCTGCTGCCCACCCTGAAAGAACTAGAAGGTTCTCACCCATCATTCCAAGAAACCACAGGAAAATCACATAGGGAAAATGAAAATGATGTCTTCATTTAAGTAAAATCTATAATAAAACCACAGTGCTCTGCCCAGCTCTGGTATGAAGTTTAAGATGTGCTGCATGGAGGAAAAAACAAAAGACATATAATTAACATACTTGGAAAAACTTCTGGAACACTAACAGAGAAAACAGCAAGACACTCCATGAGGTCCCTTCTGCAACCTAAGTGCATTGATCTATGACAAAAATAGCCCCTTCCTGAAAATGACTTGAAATAGTAAAGTTTCAAATCACCCAAGAAAACACTCCAGTGTAAGGGAGAACCACAGCATAATAAATGAGTTAGTTCTCCAATAACATGGAGAGAAGACAATCTAAATTAGAATATAGAGTGACTTAAAGTATAAGTTCAAACTGTATTTTAAAAAATAGTATAAAAACAATGAAAAAATACAATATTGTTAAAAGGATGTCCCATTTTGGGGGAAAATCAGATGGACTGTTGAAAAGATTAAACAGGAGAAGCAGAAGAAGATACCCAGTGTTGACCTCTGGTCTCCACACAGGTGAGCACATGAAAACACATCCGTATGCCACACACACTCACTCACATACAAAGTGTTGAGGATCACTTATAAAATTACTTAAAATTTTAGATAGATAATTATGCTAAGTGTTTATGAGTTTGTAGTTGGACATTTATGTTTTGCTAGTGAAACATAGTTCTTTATAATTATTTAGAGAAAGGAATTTTTTGCTTTTTTATTTTTTGAGAAGTTAATACATTAATATTGTATTTACATCATTTCTACTCCAACTCTTCTCACATCTCTCCCCAACTCCCTATTAATTTTATGACCTCTTCTTTGATTATTATTGCTGCATGTACATATATAAATATTTGTTGAGTCCATTTAGCAGTGCTTGTCTGTACATGTGTTTAGGGCTGAACACTTGGGATTGGATAACCTATTAGGGAGCTCATCCCTGGATAAACTGGCTTTATTTCCTTTAACAGCCATTGATTACCTGTATCTCTTCATCTAGAGGTGGGACCTTGTGAAATATTTCCCATCCACATTGTCCAGTCAGCTGGTGTTATCATTATGCAAACCTTGTTTAGGCAATCCTATTGTGCATATGGGTGCAGCTTCCCAGTCACATGTAGAAGACACTATCTAACAGCAGGCATCCTGGTCCTCTGGCTCTTACAATCTTTCCCTCACTCTTTCCAAGATGTTCCCTGAGTCTTGGGTGTAGAAGTTGCATTGTAGCTGTATCATTTGGGGCTAGACTATCCACAGTCATTTATTGTCTGTATTTTGACCGGTTGTGGAGCTTTGTTATAGTCTCTATCTGCTGCAGATCAAAGCTTCTTTGAAGAGTGGAGACAGCAATACTTATCTATGGATGTAAGGTTGAGTATTTAGAATATAGTTAGAAATTATATTGGTTTAGGAAAGTAGCAGTAGTAGGTTCTCTTATATGATCTATTACCCTTCCATCCATGAATATTTGTCTACATTCACAGTACCAGTCAAGAATTCCCTCCTATTGAGCAGGCTTTAAGACCAATTAAATAGCTCTTGGTAACCCCCAAGATGAAAGTGTCACTATTACATGATTTTCCCATCATTGGCTTTATAACTGGGTAGGCTACTGATTGCTTTTCTCCCTTGGCAGCTTGCATAGCACATTCTAATACTGGATAGCCAGTCCTCAGGGAGGAGGTTTCCAGGCCAACTCCAGCTGTATTCCTCCGGTCTTGTGTCCAAAGTGCATGAGGTCTTCAGAGAAAGGATCTTCCTCCA